AGTCGGGTTGATGATCGACTATGGGTAGGTGGATTCCGATTATGAATGTCATCCGGGTTGGTGACACATATGGGTTTCTACCCGGAGATAATGATGGTCGTTCAGTACATTTAGCCGAGTTGCACCTTCTTCTGGGTACCCCTCACTATCAAGGGATGATTACTAGTTTTGCTCTCCTTTCATCCAACTTTATAACCCAGTCGAGATTAATATTTTTGGGATGTACATAAGTCCCCCCGAATTCAAATCCTTTATAGAAGGATTATAATATTCGGTCACGAAAGGCACAAAAATATTAAGGACGAAATCCGGGTTGTAACCCGTCTTTACCTTGCATATGTGTTACATAATGAATGGCCAAGCACCTTCTCTCTCATAGTGCAATGATGACTTTTAATTAAGTCTTCATTTATTGGGTGACGTTCCCTTCCCCAGTGCACTATTCATTAGGCCCTATTTAAAACCCTATTTCCATCTTTCCTTTTTCATCTCAGCATTTGAAAATGTTACAACTCCAGAGGAAGCTTATACATTCCCCAGGTGTTCACCAATTCCAGGTATTCTTCCCTTTTCGCTTCCTTATTTTCTCCTTTTCCTTTATTTTTATCTTTATATATGGTTACCATAAGAGAGTGCAATAATGAGGGAAAAATTGTAAAACCCACGAATACTGAAGAAATAAGGGAGTTCTGGGATCAATAAATTCGAGAGGTTAACGGTGCCATAGGTCATGAGGAGTTTAACCGAATCACAAAGGAAGTTTATGGTTGTAACTTCACTTCTTTGAGAGATTCTGACTCTGATTCTCCCTCCTCAGGTTTTGTAGGAGTTCTGATGGAAACATTTTCCCTCTTTGACCTTGAAGTTATGCGCTATAAGAAAAGCTCGCTTGACGATGAAGAGATCGCCAAACTCCGATCTATGATGAACGTTTCATTGAACGGGGAGGAAGATGAAATTATTCTAGAGTTCTGTGTATCTGGTGAACGAGTATGCGTTCTTCGTCAAAAGGTTACCGATGAAGAGTTCTTCTATTTTTATTATGGGGCTTTAGAGGGTTTCAAGGTCCATATACCCTTCTATGATTTCGAGGTGGATATACTAAAGACCATGAACGTTACTCCTTATTAACTTTGCCCTAACAGTTGAGGCATTATAAATACTTTTGAATTGGTCTGTGAGGCGTTGAACGTCATACCTACAATAAGTCTTTTGTTCTCCTTCTTTGAGTTCAAAGGGCCTGAGAAGTTATCTTTGGTCCAAATCATGGTCTTCCCTACAAGAGCTTTCTCCAAGTATATACTTCTAACAATATGGGCTTAAAATATCGGTTTCTATAGGTGAAGTATGGATCGAGATTCCCCTAGTGATATATGCTTTAGATGGGCACCCACGCTTCCCTCTCTACTGGACCAGGGATCCCCCGCCTATCTTCGGCTTCATCTTTGATAAACTGAGCGACCTGGAGGTCCAAGCCTTGAATGTGCTTGACTCCTTCCTAATGATGAATATTAAGTATTTGTTACCCCTAACTGCAAAACAGATCCCAGATTTTCTTGGTAATAGTTTTTTCGTCTAATTATCAATCGGGCACATCTATTGATAATGCTCATGTTTTTATTTTCTTTCTTTTACAGATAAGATGCCAAATATTTTTGTAGCCGAGTAGAAGAAACTGATGTTGGAAGCCAGAGCTTCCCAAAAAGGGGCAGGTAGATCATTAACGGTTAAGTATGATCTTACCGGGTTAGAAACCCGGACCTTGAAGAGGCGAAAAGTGGGGGGCACTAAGGCTATCTCGAGCATGGCTGGGCCATAGACTTCTGCTCCATCCATTCAAGAGGAGGTTCAACAAGGCACTCCGAAGAAGCTGAAGACTCTTATGAGTGATGACGCTTGTCGGGCCGATTTGAAGATAACTTCTCTGATGAGAGAGCTGAGAGACGGTCATGTGTCTGGAGAGTTCAAGTTTTGGTCCAACAACTTTGATGGGCTCTGCTTCCTTTATGACCATATCAATGCCACTGAAGACGTCAATAAGGTCAAGACCATATGCCAGCAGAAGATAACACAGAACCTCAGTTCTTACCTTATGAGGTGTGTAGTTTTGAATTGTGGCCTTTTTGAGTCCAGTGATGACTATGAGAAGACGGAGTTGAAGCTCAATGAGGAGATAACCCAGCTGAAGGAGGCTCAGAAGACTCAGTCTGAGAAGTTATCAAGTTTGGAAAAGAGTTTGGCTAAAGAGAAGGAGCGGAGGGAGACTTTGGAGTCTGAGACCAGGGCTTCTCTTACCCAGCTCAATGAGAGGTTGAAGGTAGATAGTGATACCAATGACGAGATGAAGGTTACTACCGACAATCTGAAAGAGGATCTCAAGAATCTTAAGTGAATCTCCTCTCTGCTGGTGACGAAGCCTTCGAACGGGCTAACGACCAGATTTTATGCCTTTATCCCGGCTTTGATCTGGCAAAGATGGATTACTTCCAGGTGGTGCAGAATGGCCACCTTGTGGATCTTGAGGAGGTAGAAAAGAGTCTCCCTCCTCCGCCAAATCTTGAAGATCCTTCTGGCAAGAAGAACAACAATGATGGTGACGGGAAGGATAATCCGACTGCATGATGTTATTTTCTGTTTGTGTTTCTGTTGGTAATCCGATAAGGATGTGATTATGTAATTTTGTTTAGGGAGTATTGTTTTGTCCCCCCTTTTTGTTACGACTATGAATTCCGCCTTTGAGCTTTGTATTTTGAACAACCCTTTTGTGCCTTTGTAATTATATTGTTATTGTTCTTACTCGTTTGCTTGCATTTTCTAGCTTTCACTATTTGCTTTCATTCTCAACTTTATAAAAAAATAATCTTGTGTATGTATCTAAGCCCCTCGGGCACAAAGTCCTCCAGGCTGTAGGTGTCCGATCATGTAGTGACGGGCATTATTTTAAGTTTTAAATCCTCAGCGACTTTTTTAACGACTTTCATTTTGATTTTTACAAATTACTTATAGACCTAGGCGGGTTGTACACTCAGATTTATCTTTGATATAAAAGTCTTCCCGGATACCAAAACCACTAAGGTGTCCTTTTGTCCGGGTTTTGTTTACGAGCAAGGTGTTTTCTAGATGAAAGATCTCTAGGAGTAGGCGCTTTAGGTACTATGTTTCTGGCATTGTGTTTTTCAGATGTTTTTATGAAATCAGCTTTGGTGTACCCTTTAAGATCCCCAAGCCCGTATGAGGTCGTGTGATTATTCGCTTGTTTAGTTACGGGTTAATGAGCCCCTAGCGAATTTTTATTCTTGGGAATTCCTCATCAAGCTGAAATAGAGTCTCATGGGTTGCAATAGAGCCTAACATTGCTCTTGGTTGTTTGTCGAAGTCGGTAGAAGCCCCAGGCTCTCTTGATCCAATGAATCTTTAGTGGCGGACAGAGGCCATAAGGCATAACCGACTTAGTGGAGGACAGAGGCCCTAAGGCATAACCGACTTAGTGGAAGATAAAGGCCCTAAGGCTTAACCGGCTTATTGGAAGACAAATGCCCTGAGATGTAATCAACTTAGTGTTGTAACTGGTTTTAAAATAAGACTTGCCACCCTTAATTGTTATCCTAAGGAAGGGAATATAAAGTATAACCCTAAAAAAGTTAGAGATTCTAGGTTTTTTACTCGGTTTTAGACGAAGCGAAGGTGTTAGGCACCCCTCATCTACCTTGTTCACAAGGATACTAGGGTTTAGAAGCGTAATCTTTTAGGAAAAAGAGTTTTAATTTTTATTAGGGGAACTCGCCATGATTTAGTCGTATGCCTACGTATCCTCTTATGAGGAATCAGAGTCCCAATTCATAGTTCACAATTTGGATGGTATTTTTTATAGGATTATGTAGAATTGATTTTGAATTATCCTTGAACGTTGTATGGGTTGAAAATTGTGTGAGCTTAAACGTAATTCACAGTTAATTTGAAAATAATTCTCCTTAATCCTTTTTCGAAAATATCTTTGGGTTTTGATTAAGTTAGTAAAAAAAATGGTTTGATCGTTAGTTAGTTATTTTGAATTTTGAATTGATGACGCGTATGGTAGGGCATAAAACGAGGGAGTCTAATATAGTCTCCTCATCACCTGACCAGATATTGGCCATGCGTTGCTCATCATAGAGGATGTGGAGGGAATCTGATAAAGTTTTCATTATCACATGGCCAGATATTGCCCACATGTCGTCCACTGGTAAATTGCGTGGTTTTTAATATCTTTGTAAAATATTGAATTAAATTAATTTAAGAAAAATGTTTGAATTAATTAGAAAATAGATTTAACTAAATAATCCAATAAAATATATTTTTTATTTTGAATAACTAATTGGTAAATGTTAACTCTACCACTAATTACTCGAGAATGTGAAATTCGATTACTGGTAATATGTCAAAATTAAATAGTTTTAGTATTTTTATGTTGATATATATATATATATATATATATATATATATATATATATATATATATATATATATATATATATATATATATATATATATATATATATATATATATATATATATATATATATATATATATATATATATATATATATATATATATATATATATATATATATATATATATATATATTTCAAGAAATTAAATAAATAAAAGAAATAACTAAATTAAAGGTGGTGCTAAATTAACAAGGGGTGTCGCTATTAGATCAATATATGACCTAAGGCCCAATTCAATATTTGTTAAAGTTAATCCTAAAAACTAAAATAAACTAATGATAATAATAGCAATAATATAAGTAACAATAAAACAGAGAGAAAAATTATTGATCCCAAATTATCTCTTCCTCCCTCACGGTATTCCTTCATCTACCTTCACAATCCCTCTTTTCAATTTCTTTCCAAACAAAATCAACACCCGTAAATCTCATACACAAAATCATTTAATCAAACATGTCTTAATCAAACCACATGAATAAAAAGCAGAATGGAAAACAAACCGGAGGATGCTAACGGACAATGACTTTACGAATTAGAGCGGAATCATGATGATTACGCACAGGCGACTGCAGTTGTCTCCAGATTTGAAGGGGAGACGGTTGGATCATAGAAATTTCGACGGTGGATCTACGACGATGTTGTTGTTCTGTGTGAAATGGAGGGATCTCGTCCATGTTTGCACCGGTTGAGTTGCGTGGGTAGTTCTTTCTGTCGGACTCCAAATTCGTCGGATCTTGTGGTGGCATCGACGAAGGCGGATTGAAGTTTAGATGCATCGATGGAGGGCTCTGTTCAACTTATGATGTTTTGTTATAATGTTGTTTTCATGGTTGTTGATTAAGACCGATGGGTTTGTGGCCGAGTTGATTCCTCTTCCTCTTTCTTTGATTTGTGATATCGTTTGTTTTTTTCTCTTTGTTGGTAGTGATTGGGTAAAGTAGAAATCAAAGCTCATTAGAGATAAAAATCATAAACTCTACAATTTGTTATTTGGCAGTAGATATAATATATCAAATATTAGAGTAATAATGATATATGAATTGAGGCAGTGATGCTATTGTATATAAGTTTTGCAACACAAATTGATTTCAAGAACTAATTTGTTAATTTTTTCTAAGAACTAAATTAGGGATATCCTGTATATTTACCAAGATAATACTAATGACAAACATCATGATTTGTAATCACATATAATTTAGGAAAATGTTAACGTAAATAAAAAAAATTAGCGATAATTCATATATTTACATTAATCTATTATGATGTTTATAAGTAAGGTGAGTCAAAACCAAAAGTATAAATTCTCCATAACTGTGTACAAATTTGGAAGGTGTGTATTGAATGTGTATGGTCTGTGTGCATTGTGAATTAATAGAATAGCTAGTTTTGTCAAGAAATAATTTTTGAAAACAACTAGACCATCAAACCATCATCATATGGTTAAAATAAAAAACCAATTAAAAAATAGAATTGAAAATTAGAGGGAGGCGTCATATGAAATCATTGGCCAAAACAAAAATATCCCCGACAGTATTAAAAAGAAAATTTTGAAAGAAGATGAAATTTGCAAAAAAAAAAAGAAGTGTGATTGAATGAGTGAAATTGTGAGAGATTGTAAAAATGTGGATTTGTGTGAAATTCTTGATTTATGAGAATTTATGTTTGAAATACTAGGACAAACTAAGGTCTTATTTATAAAATTGAATTAGGTTAAAAAAACTTAGGGAGTAAGTTATCCAAAAGCCCAAGAGAAGCCCAAAGTTTGATCTCCACAAAAGGAAAGAAAATTAAAACAAAAAATAAGAAAAAATGTTAAAAGCACAACACACAAGTTTCGAACCCACGACATCATACTTGCAAGTTTCATTCCTTAAAAACCGTGCTATGTTACTTATTTGAAAGAAAAAAGCCAATTGAAAGTACATGAAGACGGGAAAGTATTTATTATTTAAAAATATAAATAATTTGAAATAAATTATTATATTTTTAACTGGACTTGAGAGCGAATATATAAAAATCAAATAATATTATAAAACCAATGTTTTGAAAATATTTTTTGACCATAGAAATAAAGGACGGCCAAATTTGGGGTATGACAGCTGCCCCTATTTAATCACTCTTCGATTGAATGGTGCGAGAATGCACATGTCTCGCTCATTCAAATCAGATGCTTATTAAATAATGGAAGACCCCAAAATTTGGACCAAAGATTTATTAAATAAGGATACACAGATATAGCATACCTAAGAGCACTGAGAAATAGGCTAATATGGTGATGTATCATCCTACTAGAGTTTGAATAGAGAGATATGATTGAAGAGTAAGTTTGACCTAGATATGACGATGCAGATAACTCGCCAATACCTAGAAAAGAGATAATAGTTTTTTACATATTTACCATGACCTAGGAGGTAAACAACACAAGTTGAAAGATTATAAGGACACGTTGTATAGTATTCCCATGGGTACAAAGAGTAGGCATAGATGATGATGTATCATCTTACCAACGTTTGAACCAAAGTTTTTGATAGAACTTAGACACAACGACACGGATAACTCATTAGTATCTAAGAGCTTGTAGATTCTTTTGCATATTTAAAAAAATACAAGTTTTTTAAAAAAAAGTTGACTTGCTAATGCTTGGAGATTAACATAGTAAGTTTTGGTTTGATTTGATTTTGTCTATTCATCGCGACCTAGGGGATGAATAAAATAAAGTCCAATAACTTGTTGCTGCATGGAGAATGATGCAATGGATTACGCATATTTATTCGCATATCTATCGCAGCCTAGGGGATAGATAATTGAAAAAAGTTTGATAACAACATCGCTGCATAGAGCCTGACGCGATGAGTTATATTGCCGACTTTGTCATGTTTACTACAACCTAGGGAGTAAAAAATCTGAGGATGAATTCACGTATTCATTGCAACCTAGGGAATGAATAATATGAATCGGCAATTCGAACATCTACCACAACCTATGGGGTAGATGATTGAAAAAGCTTGATAGCAACGTTGCTGCATGGAGCCTGACGCAATGAGTTATATTGCAAATTTCACACATTGATGCATGAAGACTGGCACAATGGGTTATATCGCAGATTTCCCACATTGCTGCATAGAGACTAACGCAATGGGTTATATCGCAGAGGAGGAACCTATGCATTTATCACAACCTAGGGGATAAATAAATCATAGTTTGATAATACATTACTGCATGGAGACTGATGCAATGGATTACGCAGATTTGTTCACATATCTATCACAACCTAGAGGATAGATAATTGAAAAAAGCTTGATAACTACATCGCTGCATGGAGACTGGGGCAATGAGTTATATCGCAGATTTTGCACATTGTTGCATGGAGACTAACGCAATGGGTTATATCGCGGATTTCCCACATTGCTGCATGGAGATGTTATGAGTTACATTGAAGATTTCCACATCGCTGCATTGATACTGACACAATGGGTTATATCGCAGATGAGGAAACACATTGCTGCATGGGGACGGACACAATGAGTTATATCACAGATTTCCTACATTGCTGCATGGAGACTGACGTAATGGGTTATATCACATAAAAAGCTATTTTTTAATGATCAAATCTTAGATAACTAGATCAAAGATAAGGTCGAATTTCTACTGGTTGTGTCTGTCTTCAACCAAGGTAAATATTTAGCATAAAAATGCTAGGTTTGAAGATTGAAACTGAAGTTTCACTGATGATGCCGGTTGTGTCTATTCTCAACCAAGGCTATGAACATGAAGAAATAAACCCCAAAATTTAGTGATGATTTCGGTTGTGTTTGTCCTCACCCAAGACTATCATCATGAAGAAATAAACCCCAAATTCACTAATGAAGTCGGTTAGGTCTGTCCTCAACCAAGACTATCATCATGAAGAAATGAACCCCAAATTCACTGATGAAGTCGGTTGTGTCTGTTATCAACCAAGACTAACATCATGAAGAAATGAAACCCCAAATTCACTGATGAAGTTGGTTGTGTCTGTTCTCAACCAAGACTATCATCATGAAGAAATGAACCCCCAAATCTTTATTTGCTAATGAAGACGGTTGTGTCTGTTCTCAACTGAGACTTGATTAACATGATAACCAAATGAATTTGAATGTTTTAAGATATTCGAACTTGAAAAGTTTGAATTTGATAATTGCAAGTGTAATTCCCAGAGGCTGGTGATGACTAGGCCTTGGATATGAATCACAGGTAAGCTGCCTAGTGACATTTTGATAGTGGTACATTTGATGGTTGTATCTGTTCTCAACTGAGGTAGCTATATCAAGATGAATGGATAATGTTGAGCTTGGATTTGAATTTGAATTCGTCTTAGCTGGTAGTCATGCCTTGAGATTTTTCCGCAATATTTCATGGGCATATATGATTTAAATTTAATGCATGTATGCACGTTTGATATGATTATGTTTGATGTAAGCATGATGTATGGTATGTATGCTTAACATGATAATGTTATGAAATGAAATTATGTAATGGTTGATAAATGCAATACCTCTGTTATTTGAACTGTGAAACCAATGCTTAAGGCAGGCTAACATCCAAGAACTGTTTTTTCTGAGAAGCCGTGCCAATTAGGGGTTGGGCTTTTAAAAAGATGTGCCAGACTGGAAATGGGCTTTGCACCAACATTAGAAGGGCTACTAGAATAGTGTCAGTTTGGTTGTTTGGAATAGTGAAATGGATAGCAAGGTCGCTAACATTGGTAAGGTTACCTAGAGACATTAATCCGGTGATTTGGAAAGTGTGAGGCTGCTCACGACTTTTACATACGGTTGTTTACATATAGACAAAGAAGTGAGGTTGTGTGAGGCTGCTCACGCCTTAGTTTGACGAAGAACATTTGTATCATAGACTCACTGAGAGGGATACTCGGAGAGTTTTCAGAGATTATAAGTGACTCCCCTAGAAATTGAATCTAGATTTTTACGGGGTCCCGAGTCTTGGTCTATGATATGTCAAGTATACATGCAGATGCAGGTGTTAATGCGTAGAATGAATGACCAATGCATGTAATGGATGACTTGGATATGCGTCAATGGATGTTGAAATTTCGATGCGCCAATAGTTTGATCATTGAATGAATGACCCTACTATTTTGAACTATGCCCCTGATTAAAAAATTCTTGAAAATGTTTGGCTTTGATGAACCATTTTGAATCAGCTCCTTTTGATTGAGCCTCACAATGGTTTACACCAACATTCAAATTTTGAAAGATATGCCCCTCAATCTCTAGGATTTGTAGGAAGTACCCTAAAAAAGAACTTATACCTTACCATTAACTTGACATAGATTGCCCCAAGTATTGGAAGCTTGAAAAGTTTGCACTTGAAGTTGCTTGAGGGGAATTCGGACCCTACGTGCAGTAGGATGAACTTGGTATGTACCGCCCCATCATTTGAACCTTGGAAGGTTACCCCTGATCATCAAGGCCTTGAGAGGTTTTTTAAAACGAGGAAACCGAGTCATACTCTATTGTGATATGAATTGATTAAGGAATGCTCCTTAGAAAGGTATGTCCCTAATCGAACAGTGCTTTGAAACTTGATCCAAGTTGATTGAATCTCGAGATGGTAACCCCTAATCAAAAAGGATCTTCATGTGATATGCCCTTATGATTGTTAGTCTTGCTTATGATTATAGGGCTCCTCTTTATATGCTTTTCCCCTAGTTAGGAGCTTCTTGGAAAGAATCACTTTTGATTAAACCAATTTTTTTGGTCCCCTTGATGCTAAG